AAACTCATTTCGACAGCGGTGGCCACAGTTCCAAATTGGAGTGCCTATGACCACTAGCAGCAGTAGCAGCAGCAACAACAACAACAATAACATCAACAATAACAATGGCTGCATTGGCCAAAACAGGATTTAATTAAAAACTCAAAATGGCGGCTTAGTACCTGCTTTGCGTTTGTATTTGGCTTTTGTGAAGTGGCCCGGCGAATGGGCGAATCGAGAATTTTGTAAATTGCGCTCATTATGGGTTTTGATTTTTGAGTGCCAGATGAGTTTCTAATTAATTTTTGCGCTAGGCATTTATTGAAAAATGCTCGCATAAAACACACAAACCCACACACACACACAGCTATCAAATTGTTGCAGTTATATGAAGCAAATGAGAAAATGACCGAAATAAAACAAATTTAATGGCGTTTGTTTCGAGCCACTGCCCCAAAAGCCATAAAAGGCATTCTATACAAATTCATCCAAAAGGCAGATAACATAGCAACATCAACAACAACAACAACAAGAACAATAGCAGCAACGGCAACAACAATTTCTAAAAAAAAGGAAAAAAATCGACATTATAAACAACATTATTAAAAACATGCCGCAAATGTTTTACTGCGCTCAAATTTTTGAGTCCATTTTGTTGTCGACGCTGCTCCGTGAGTGGGTGGTTGGGTGGTTGCTGGGATGGCAGGCGGACTGGCTGGCTGACTGGCTGCCTGCCGGGCTGTACTAAGCTCATAATGATGTTCAGCGGGCAAATTAATACTGCTGTCTCGCTTCCACTCTGGCAAGCTAATAATATTAAGCGCTGCCAAAAGCGGGAGTAAGAGAGAAAAAATGAGAGAAAGAAGAAAACGGAATTGGCTTGTGTGTGTGTGCGTATATATATGTATATATGTACATATGTATATAAGTTCTACAAGGTGCTGTTAACAATCCGTGTTCGTGTGTCAAAGAGTATATATATATATATATATATATATATATATATGTGTGTGTACGTATATGTATTGGTGGCATGCAATAACGCAGTGCTCAATAATAATAAAAATATTTCGGAGCAATGCGATGGGATAAAGAAAGTCAAGCTATGCGATAGATATGAAAGGAGTATAAGTATAGGGATAAGTATGAGCTTAAATATAAGAATGAGTATATATAGATAAGATTAAACCTAAATCAGTCAACATACTTGAGTTTATGATAGAAAACGTCATATAATATTCATTTATTTTTATATGTACTTCGCTTGTTTTGTACACGCAATTTACGCTCTACATTTCCAGATAAGTATGCAATACTTTTTTAAAACCCTTATTTTTATTCTAATGAAAACCGCAGTTCACTCCTGTCGCTCTAACGATAATATAATATGGCTTTGTTGCTCTCTGCCTCTCTCTCTCACTCTCTAGTGCTGCTCCCCATTCCAGAAATTTGCGTAATAATTCATAATGAAAAAAGTTTTTCCATCCCATACTTGCCAGTTTTTCCTTCGCTTTCACGCTATATGTATACGTATATAAATATGCTTTTTTATTTGAAAATAAATAAATATTAGGGCCATAGCGAGGCAGCAGCAACAAGAACTACATTATTATCGTCATTATGATGAGCCGCCTTCGCTAACGGCGAAGTTTATCAAAAGGCCAAGTAACAATGGCGATGGCAGCGGCTGAGACTGAGACTGCGACGCCTTCTCGTTCCAGCTCGCTTCATACAGATGCACGGACACATGCGCAGAAGCAATGTACACACACACACACACACACACACATACTCGTGCATATGCATGTGCATTCACACACAGCTTTACATGGCCACTTGTAACGTGTGGAATTTGTTTACCCTTATTTCATTACAAAGAAATATTAAAATTGTGGTAAATAAACAAATTTCGAAAATTTAAAATGTATAAATACTTTAGCTGTTTACACATGCACACACGCACTTACCTATGCATGTGTGTGTGCACATATACATACGTTGTGCGCTCTCGTGTCTGTGTGTACTCTGCATACATTCTCTCGCTCTTGCTGCCGCATGAACAATTTGCTCTCTCTCTCTCTCTCTATCTGTCTCTCGCTCTCCGCCTCGCAGGCAGCCATTGCCCGCGCCATGCCAAGTGGCTGCCCAATTCTTGTGGGTACATTAGCGCTAATGATGATTGAAACGACAAACGTGTCGCCTCGTCCTGAGCCTCAGCTCGAGCACAAGAGAAAGAGAGCGAGAGAGAAAGAATATGAGAGCGAGAGAGAGCTAAAGAGAAAAGCGTTAACGAATTCCGTGCTTTGATTTAAAATTTGTATCTCGTGCCAAATTTAAACTTCAAGGAGCGAGAGGCTGCGCCAACAAACGGGCGAGGAGCTCTCCGTACAGCCACTTGGTATCCCATTTTTCTTCTCGTGCCGTTTTCCCTTTTGCATTGATTCACTTTGATGGGCGCTAATTGGGGTTTCTGTGGTGGTAATGATCGTTGGTATTTTCTGTAGTTTATCAAGTGGTAAATTTAAAAGCCGAACACTTATGTATAAGACGAGCGAGAAATTTAATGTATGAGAAGTAAAATAAGTATAATTAAAAACAATTTTTTAAAATGGTAATTAAAATCAGGATTTTAAAAAAAATTAATTTGGTTTTTATACTTATTTTTAAATAAAGATATTTTATAATATAAAATTAATTATAGAAGAGTGAAGTTGCCTACTTTAACTCTGAATACCGAGTGTTATAATATGGGAATATAGTAAATTCTTGCAGTTACGTTTAATCAATTATGGCATGTAATTATTACGCTCCTTAATCAGTAAATGTTATTTCTACCGCAACGCCATATTGTTTTCCCGTTAATAATTCAAGGCACCGCCCACTGAACCACTCACCCGCTCAGCCACTTCACCCTGCAACCAGCCAATTATCCATTTATTTCATAATTTCAATAACTTTTCATACAGTCGCGTGCGGGCTGAGAGGAGCGGGGCGTAGAGGCTAATGGAAGGGTGCTCGCTGCGATAGGTGGGTGGCTCGTTGGGTGGGTGGTTGCGTTTTTATGTAACTGCTGGTGGTTGCTCCTGACAATCTGAATGATGATGATGTTACGCAGCTACTGCTGTTGTTGCTGTCGCTGCCGCTGCCACTGCTGCCACTGCTGTTGCTGCTGCTGCTCTGTCGCTGCTGTGTAAATCCCGGAAAAAAGCAGAAACAAGCTGGATGCGAACCGCATCCCACACGAACATGAGAAAAATCACAGCCACGAAGCATGCAGACGCACACACACACACATCCACAGAGACACACACAGAGAAAGCAGCGCTGCTGCCGTCGACGTCGACAATTGCTGCAGCAGATATTGTAAAAATTTTACGACCAGCAACTTTTGAATTCAGTTGAGTTTGCAACACGTTCTCGTTCGCATGCGGCTCGAAAGGATGACCAGATCTCCGGCTTACGCGATTATCCAATTCCCTCGGCTTCCGCTGTAATTGACGAAACGCGCGCAATTGTAGGCAACATTTTATGCCGTCGGCTAATTCAGACTTTCAAGTGGAAAAGTGCATTACATTCAAAAGAAATTTAAAGATGCAGCTAAACAGTTATATATTATTTAACTGAACTAAACTATCAAAATTTTGGAGCAAATACGAAACGGAAATTTTGGATAAAACTGAAATTAATAATTTCCCAAAAAGGTTTGTTTTGCCATTCGAAATTGAAATTGCCTCCATATAACTTAACTTAACTTAATGAAGTAGAATTCATTTAATTAAATTTATTTATTTATATATTCGCATATTTATCATAAATAACTCGTTATTCAGTAACGATTTGAGTTCATATATTATGTATAAGATGTATTCGAAGAAAATAAAATGAATCTCAAAATGAGGTTTTATTAAATCGTAGCGTTAACTTTGTTTACTGTAATCGAAAAGTAGAATATTTTTTAATCCAGCTCTCTGTATAAATACAAATAAACAAAATTTGTTTTTATATATATATTTTTTTTGCCACGATAGAAATTTTAAAGGAATTTTACAAGTAAATATATAAATAATTTTTACATTTGCTCGCGTCTCTCAAAGTTCAATCAGTTGCTGTTCCCACTTTTGTAAAATTGAATTACTTTTAATCAGACGAAACTTATTCAGTTAGTAATCTAATCTTAATAGAATATTAATTAATAAAAAACAATATTATCCAATCTTACTGGATCTATACGAGAGCTGTGATCAGAAGCTCAAGAGCCATGAGATTATAAATAGTTATGATACTTATTTTATATAAGGATCATGAACTTTTTATCAAATGTTTGTTTGTTAGCTTGTTTTAATTTTGATTAAGTCTAACAACAATTAGGTATTTTTAAACTTCTTGTCTTTATAGTACTATCTGCATATATATCAGTTCATATAGTATTAATTAGTCCACTTACTTATTTCGCACACCTTATTCCTTACTTATATTTATTGTTCAATTCAGCTTTAATGCTTTAATTTTAGAAATGAAGGCAATAAATACCTTGATGATAGATCTTTAACGATGCATTAATAATTACAAGTACATGAATTTAAGAAAACAGAAAAAAAATCGCAGTTAATATGAGCGCATATATATTGGATATATACTAAAAATATACTGATAATATATTGAAAAAATCTCTTATTAGAAAATTGTATATTCATTATATTCAGAATATATTTAAATAATATATATAAAATATATTTAAAAAACATATATGTAATAACTTTTTACATTATGTTTATGAAATACAAATCAATAGATTGAAATTGGAAATAAAGTCATTTTCTCTTTTTCAAATTATAAAACAAAAAAATTTAAAAATAATCGTAAGGAATAATTTACTTTAGTTTCACTATATAATGTGTAACATAATGAATTTGTTATTTATAACATAAGTTGCCTTAAATTTGATTTGCTTTCATTTTATTTAAATTGCAAGATTGCTGAAATCAAAAATCCCATTTATAATTGTCATTAGCATAATGCAAAAAAAATATTTAATTACCTGTATTTTAGCCAACAGCTTCTATAATTTTAAGTTCAGATATTTTACATGTACATTTTTAACTTGAATTATTAAATATTGTAGCTACTATTAAATTCGAAAGCCAAAGCTTGCATGTTGTGTCTGGGTCTTTTACTGAGCTCAGCTGTCCACAGTTATTTGTATTAGACGCCTTAATGAACCTAATTTATTCAATATAAGCCACACAACTTGACCACGTTTGTATATACCATTTATTTGTATGTATAAATTTGCACTTGCATGTATACCCATATATGTATGTGTCTGAAGCTGTCTGGCTATCAGATGGATATTTAAGCACCTGTCCAACAACAACAACAACAACAACAACAGCAACAACAACAGCAACAGCAACAGCAATGCCAACAATTAAGCAGCAAACTGTGACAAAGTCTCAATTAGGCTATCAAATTGCCAGCAGGGACAGCGACAATAGCTGAGCAGGACAGATGCACAGAGTGAGACAGACAGAGAGCCTAAAAAGAGAGAGAGAGAGAGAGAGAGAGAGTAGGAGAGGGAGTGAGATAGATAGAGCGTGAATGAGAGGAGGAGAAAAGCATTGCAATTAAGTGCAATGAATGTACTCACTGTGCAACTGAGTGTGTGTGTGTGTGTGTATGTGTGTGTGCGTATGCGTACGGCTTTGTCCGTGTGCATGTGTGTGTGGTAGTCTGCGGTCATTTGCCGTTGCATCAACCAGTTGCTGCTGCCCACCATTCATTGCTGGGTCAATTGTTTGGCTAAGCTAAAGATTCTGGACTTTGGATAAGGCAATGTGTATTTGAATGATGATCCCCGCCGGTGGCTCTTGTGCCAGCAATTCCCTTTTCACTTCAAGCAGCTCAGATTACACGCGCTGGCCGCTTTGGTTGTGGTTGGCCAAGTGCCACTTAATTGTGGGCATAATCAGAGCTGAAGACAATTGCAATGGCAATTGCAGTCGTTGACACCTGAATGCCATGCGGATAGCCAAGGTGGCGACAATTTAACATTTAACACTGCTCTTGGCATTTTTCAGCTGACCAACAAGTGAGACGGAGGTGAATAGCTCGGAATTGCCGTCGTCGACTTGTGCCGAATACTAAGCATGTTGCAGAATCCTTCCAAATATCACGCAAATCCCTTGTCACACTTCCTGGCATTGCATAACACACAAGCCAGCAGCGTGGCACACGCACATGCACACGGACATGGACATGGACACGGGCAGGGACAGGGACATGGACATGGACATGGGCATGGACAGCTGCAACCGCATCATACACTGCCAACGGCGGCGTTAGCTGCAGCAGCCGCGGCAACTGCAGTGACGGCAGCGGGTCAAAGTTCGTATCAAATGGAGCTGCAGTCGCACCAACAGCAGCAGCAGCAGCAACAACAACAACAGCAGCAGCAACAACAGGAACAACAACAGCAGCAGCAGCAGCAACTTCCCATTGGCCTCCCAACACCCACACAGGCACAATCGCACACACACACACACAACCACCACAGGGAGCAGCTGGCGACTGCGACGTCGCACGCGCAGCTCATTGAGGCGGCCGCGGCGCATACCTCCCTCGATGTGGGCAAGTCGTTTACAATAGCCGCCATTTTGGGTCTGCAACAGCAGAGCAAGGAGTATAATAATGCCATTAATCTGTCGCTCAATGGCGCCACGTCAGCAGCGGGCACAGGTGGAGGCGCTGCTGGTGTGGATGCTCTCGACCAGGATAACAATAACAGCAAGTGCTACAATAGCAACAGTGCCAACAGCAACAGCAATAGCAACAACAACAACAGCAGCAGCACTAGTTATGGCACCAGCAACAACAATAACAACAACAACAATGGCCCAAGTGTAAATAACTTCAATTGTGATAGCAGCGGCAGTCGCTACCTGCCCGCTGTGCAACATACTCTTCCGCATCCCCACAGCCACTCCCACTCCCAGCAGCGGGCAAATTTTGCTGCTGCCGCTGTTGTCGCCGCCGCCGTCAGTGGAGCGCCCTCCGCACTGCAGAGCTTGCAACAGCTCCACCAGCATCACGCGCAGCAGGCCTCGCTTAGCTTCCAACGTGACAAGCTCAAGTCGGGTAGGTCGAATCTAGCATTAGAGATTAGCTTATTGTTAATCATAAATTTTTTCCTCTTTCACTGCCTTTACAGACTCGCAGAAGAAAAGCGGACTGAAAAATAAGCGCGTCCGAACTATCTTCACACCAGAGCAGCTGGAGTGCCTGGAGGCGGAGTTCGAGCGCCAGCAATACATGGTGGGACCCGAGCGTCTATACCTAGCGCACACACTCAAGCTGACGGAGGCCCAGGTGAAAGTGTGGTTCCAGAACCGTCGCATCAAATGGCGCAAGCATCATTTGGAGCTGACCCAACAGCGTCTGGCACTGATTAGACAAACTCAACTGCCAGGTGGAGGAGTGACAGCGGTGCCAGCATCGGCGAACACTACGTCTTCCGTGGAGCTGCCCCTGAACGCCGGCTGCAGCACAGCCTCGCCGAGCCTGCTAGAAGAGGACAATGAGGACAGCAAACAGTCGCTATCGCTACCGCTACGTCCAATGAGTCGAGCAGCCTCCGAATCCGATTTATCCATATGCAATGACTCCCTCGATCTAGACGGCGATAGCCTTATGGATGGCAGTGAGGAGGCATAAGCACTCCGTGCAGACAAATATGTAAATATAGTAAAATAAATCTGTTTAATACTCACTAAATTCTTATTTAAATATAAATGTATATATTTATTAGAAGTAAAGACCCCCTTAGTTTAATATACTTTTACAATTACATTAATTACGTTTGCTTAGCTCTTATCGAATTACATATGCATCTCTATTTTATAATAAGGTGCGTACATATGCAATTATCACACACTAAAGAGTTCAGTTATTGCTGTGTCGCCGAGACGACTCTATCGTAGCAGGAGAGATGCACCACCTGGCCATTTGGGTAGCGCACAAAGGCCGTTTGGTTGGTGAAGCGTTTCCTGCACTCGGGACACAGAGTGGACTCATTTATTTCGAAGCTCTTGTTCTTCTCCTTGGCGAGAGAAGCTCGCAGTCGTGCCGCTTCGGCTTGCAGCAGGCCGCGCATGATCTTACGCTGGTGGCTTTCGTTCATTTGGGTGCGAGCCACCGTCTCGAAATAATTTTTCAGCTCATGCATGTAAATGTCATCGGGCAGATACTGGAAATAGAAAATGAATGAGTGTAAGTAAAAATGGCCAATGAGATAACTGCAAATAAATGGCGCTTACTTCGATAATCTTTGTGGGATCAATTTTAATGGTATATGTGTTGAGCAAGTCCACTGCGACTTCTTTGTTCGGCCTAAGAAAGTCGGGATGCAAGGTAATGCCCTCATAAGGTGGTTTTTGCGTTGGCTTCAGTATAGTGAGAAGCAATATGTTGAACACCTCCTTATCGTCCTCGTACTTCGCCTCTGCGTATGCTTTAGCTTTGTCCACATCGCCGAAAACTTGTATATATATGGCTAGCACTTCGTCGTGCTTTTTAAGTCGACCTAGGATTAGGGCTCGCTCCTCCAGCAGCACTGTGGTCGGAAAATCATCCAACACGCGATCCGGGGAATAATGTTGCGACTCCTCCAGCATCTTGTACATCTTGGCGCGCAAGGGCTGTAGCTCGGGTGTTTCTTCTCTATCAATTAACGACACTATAATAATAATATTGGGATATATCAAATTATCCGACTTACCCCTTGGCCTGCAGAGCCAGTAAGCGTTGCACCTGCTCGCTGTACTGCTTAAGAAGTGCATTGTGACGTAGGGTGTTGGTGTCATTCCATTCGAAAATTATGTGCTCGAGGTAAGGTATGACGAGAGCCTTGTGCTTACTCAGCAGGAAGTCAAGAACTTTGGCACGAGGCAGCGCCTCCACGGCGATCAGTTCGTCGGTGAATATTGTTAGACCTTCCATCGGATTCTCAGTCAATACCCAGTCAGCAAATTCAAAAATTAGCGGTAGATTATCCGAGCCAAGTGACTGAAGATAGGTTATGGTGCGTTTATGCCCCTGCAATACAGATCCCTGGATATTCGCTTGTTCCTTCAGCAGTGTCAGGGCCTTTTTGTGTTTTTTTTTGCCATCGTAGAGAATGATCAGCTCCGAAAGCTTGTTGTGTTTCTTTAACATTTTCTCAGACTCCTCTAGGTGGCATTGGTTTAGTCGCAGCAGAGGCGCAACCAGCGCATCATTTGTCTGCAGATAACACTTCAGCAGTGTGGTATCAATTATTTCCAGTAGGGACTTTGAGCTGCTCTTGGTGTCGAGCAGCTTTACCACTTCTCGTTGACGGGCTTGGACCAGAAATTCAATAAGCGCCAAGTACGCATTTTCAAGGTCATGATCCTCCAGCTTCGGTACACTGGATGGTGGAACCACAGCATCTGAAGTGTTTTTTGGCTCCGGAACTAAGCTAGGGAATAGGCGTATCACATCATAAGGATCAATGGCAGCTTTCTCAAACTCTTTCATGGCTGCTGCAAACTCTTTATTGGTAAAGAGCTCTTTGGCATAGAGCATACGTATTTGACGTATGGTCTGTGCTTTATCAACGCCATCTTCTTCGGAAATTTCCTAGAAATGGATGCAATATTAGCGTAACTCATGCTTGGGGCACATTTAGAGTAAGCTCACAGTTAATTCAATTGCCAGTTGGAATTTCTTTTGCTGCAATAACTCTTGTCGCTGCATTCCAATGTCCACGAGGCGTATACACCACAGCTCAGATGACGCGGCGGCGAAAATGATGCCTTTATCGGAGCGAACAAGAAATCTAGTATTTTTCAGCTCCGGTATAGATTGAACTAAAGTGTCCTTGCCCACCAAACTGCGCACCTCGATGGTATTTTTAGTGCGTCCAACAGCAAAAGGCTCATCCCAAACTGAAAAAAAATCACTAGTGTTTTTGCTTATAGTGCGTATAGCAAAGAATTAGATTGTATCAATACCTAGAGCCAATAGCGGACTTGACCATTGCGTCAATGTAGTTCTGTTCATGCCAGTGTCGACGTTATTGTCTATGGCTTTGTATTGGCCAAGATCGATGAGCATTAGGTAGTTGTCTTTGGATATGCCCAGCATACTATTTCGTATAAGGCAAATATTGGGCTCCTGGCTTATAGTGGACGACGTACGTATGAGCTTGTGCATCTTCGGAGGATTGTAGGATATCTTGCAATGGAGAATGGATTGTGTGTAAAGATTATTGAATTATTATCAAGTGACATCACTTACATCGTATAAAACGTATTCATCTTTGTAGCCGACACAGATGAGCTGATTTACCCAGCACATTGCCTTGGGAACATCAAGGAGCTCAATGGCCAACTCCAGAGAAGCAAGCTTGTCCTTTTTCCAGAAGAACAATATCAATCGACGTTTGATAGCGCAGCCTATTCGTATAAATGTGGCCACCTCGCCCGTAATCGACTTGCGTGTGTCCACATCCATTGTGAATAACGTACATCCTTTAGTTTCCACAGAGCTATGCATAAACTCAAAATTGTTCTCGATCCGGCTTACATCACACACATGAATCATATTGTCGGTGAGTACAAACAGCAAATTTTCAGCAGCCACCACTTCCATTTGCGTAATAGGCTTCTTGCTGAAATTCTTATTGAACATTCGCATATCGACGTCTGTTTGATTTTCCACTGAGTACATGATGAGCTGACCGCTCCGGGTGCCCAAAATGACATGATTACCTAGTGGTCATAAGAATGTTTGTAAAAAGATCATATTATATTATTTATTATAGGTAATTACTTACCAAATGCTGTAATGGCTTCAATTTGAACTCCCTGTTTTAGTATTGACTGCACACTGTAGGCCGTATGCATTTTGCTTTTTTAATTGGTGTAAGCAAATGCCTGAAAGCAAAGAAAACAAATATTAGTGGTTTAGTCCAACCCCAGCCCGCAAAACAGCTGATATGAGGCCCACACACGAGCACTAGGAGTACCAAAAGGCTACAGCAATCGCATAATTTTACAATATTTGATAGGTTTGCCGTGCGGTTATATTATAGATAAAGGTTAATATTTAAAAGAAAAATTAAGAAAACAAGCGTTACTGCAATGTCTTTATTATACATACATATGCCCACATCTACCGGCAAAATGAATGTCTGTCGTACAGTGTGTGGGTACTATATCTGCACGCAACTTTGCAACACTGCCTATGGCACTGTCACCCTGTGCAATAAATATGTCCAGCGGGATACGGCGCGCAATTTGTGAGCAGGTAATTAACTGAAATAAATTATTGAAGCATATGTACAATTTAATTCTATATTTAAAACAGCTGCCACAATTGAAAAATATTTATTATGCGTTGGAAGTGCCTTCTAAAGTGCAGAACAGTACTGCTACACGACCACTGCTTCAGTGGATTTTGCCGGCTGATGTTGCACAACATGAAAATGAATTGTTGGACTCGGTAAAAAGACAACAGTTTGATACCTCATTTATTGAAGATGTTCGTGTGGTGCCCCGAAACGGTCGCAATGCGGCCAAAGTGGAATTCCAGATTCAACCCGATGCATTTGCAGCACATCTTCTTCAGGCAGATTCAGTCGTACCAAAGGCGTCAGCCTTTCAGGAGGAGCACGTTGTTGTCGAGTATAGCTCACCCAATATAGCAAAGCCCTTCCATGTGGGGCATCTGCGTTCCACAATCATAGGTAATGTGCTGGCCAATCTTCATCAGCATTTAGGTTACCGTACGACGCGTCTTAACTATCTGGGCGATTGGGGCACCCAGTTTGGCTTGCTGGCACTTGGCGTCCAACTGGGGAGCATTAGCGATGATCGAATACGTGAGGCACCAATTGAGACGCTATACAACGCATATGTCATGGCCAATAAAGCCGCCGCAGAGGATCCACAACTAGCTCAACGAGCTCGTGAACTGTTCACATCGCTGGAAGCGAACACAGATCCAACTCTGTCTTGTGAATGGCAGAAATATCGGCAGTACACCATAGACGAGCTCACAGGCATGTACGATCGTCTGGGAGTGCATTTCGATAGCTACGAGTGGGAGTCGCAGTACTCACAACGAGACATCGGAGATGTCCTCACGCAGCTACGTTCAGCGGGGCTGCTACAAAGAGAGCACGATGGTCGTGAGATCGTTGTTGTGGATGAGCGTCGTGTTCCTGTCATAAAGAGCGATGGATCTACCTTGTACCTGGCGCGTGATATTGCAGCATTGTTGGAACGCCAGAGGCGCCTGCAGTTCACGCGCATGCTCTATGTTGTCGATAATGGTCAAGCGGATCATTTCAATGCCCTATTTAGTACGGCAACAGCGCTAGACGCAAGCTTAAAAGACAAGCTGCAGCATGTGAAGTTCGGACGTATTCGTGGCATGAGCACCCGCCAAGGCAAAGCCGTATTTCTCCGTGATGTGCTCAACGAGGCACGTGACGTGATGAGGGAGAAGCGCTTCGCGAGCGCAAGTAAGTGTGAAATTATTTTGTCGACACTTTTGTCATTCAATCTCCACTTGCAGCCACTAAAGCTAATAGCACACTTAATGATGAACACGTTTGCGATATTCTGGGGGTGTCGGCTGTGCTTGTGAACGTGCTGAAGCAGCGCCGGCAGAGGGATCATGAGTTTAGCTGGCAGCAGGCACTGCAGGTTAATGGCGATACAGGCATTAAGCTACAATACACGCACTGCCGCCTGCACAATCTTCTAGAGCGTTTCGGAGACATTGAGCTGGCGGAAATAAAGCCCAGCTGGCAGCATTTAACTGAAGAGCCATCAGATGCGCTGGCTGTGCTTTACGAGCTGGCACGCTTTGACCAATGTGTCTGGCAGGCCAAGGAGCAGCTGGAGGCCCATGTATTAGTCAACTATCTGTTTGGTTTGTGGTGCGTGATTGTCGCCGAGCAAATTAATGAGCCCTAAACTAATCTTTAATCTTCACTGTCAAACAATTACAGCAATGCAACGAGTCGCGCACTGAAACGATTGCCTGTGAAGCAAGAGAAGTGTCCAGATAAGCAATCGCAACGTCTTCTCCTCTTCCGTGCGGCCAAGCGAACGTTGCAGCAAGGCATGCGACTGCTGGGTCTGAAGCCTCTAAACCAAATGTAGTCGAAATTTTTGATATAATATAATATAGTTTTTTTTATTGAAAATTTGAGGAGTAGAAATACAGCGTCGCTTTGTAGTTCGCCGCTTAGCGCTTCTTCCACGTGTACTTGCGACGTGCGCCTTCCTGTCCGTACTTCTTGCGCTCCCGCCGGCGATAGTCACGTGTCAACAAACCGGCTGCATGGATAAATACAAAGTAGATATGTAAAAGTAATTAGTGACAATTACATAAATGCTTTTTAGCCGGCAGTTACACTTACCCAAACGCATTGACTCAATCATCTCTTGATCAACAAAGCTGCGCAAACTCATGGCGATGCCCCAACGAATGGCGCCCGCCTGACCGGATGGACCGCCGCCCTCCACATTGGCCTCCACGTCAACTTTGCCCAGCATTTCGCTGTAGTTCAGAGGAAAGAGTAACTGAAAAAAAATATATATATATAATAAAATGTAATCGTGTTAGAAGTCAAGTTCAGAGCGCCCGAGGCGGCTATTGTCTATATGTATGTGCATGTGGAACTGCTCAACTGGATCTACGTATTCGCTGCATTGTATTTTAGCGTATGTAATGAAAAATAAAACTGCGAGAGTATTTCCTGCACTAAAATAACAACAATAGATATTTAGAAATAATGACAAAATCGTTACCCGAATTAAATGGCTTTGAGCCAATGCCCAAAGCTGCAACAAATTATTGCACACTCGGGTCTAAAGCAATTAACTGCCTGCATTTGCGATGTTTCTAATATTAGCTATCAAGAAAAGAGAAAATAATTATCTTTTAAGTGAGAGTAACCTGGTAATTTACTCCTTAGATATTTCATAACCTTTTATCTCTTATAGAAACCGAGTAGACGCCTTGGATTTGATTGTTTACTATTTTAGCGATATTTGTATTACTGTTAGGTTTCATAATGTGTAACGCCGGCATTTTTTACCTAATAGTGTACTAGGAATTTACAATGACTTTTGTTTTATTGTAATGAACAGCCGAATCGATTTGGCACAGTGCGAAGGCCCGTATTTATAAGAGCTGGAGACTTGTTTAGTCGAGCTCTTCCTGCTAGATCACTTTTACTTGTTTACGTACGGCCTATGATTACCTCACACTTGTGAGGTGATATTTACTGCCGTATATGCATATTTCCAAACTCTTAACAGTTCCTTTACATATGCTGTTATTTTTCTTGAACAGTCTATTCACTGTTTTACAAAAATACAGCAAAGAAACTGGCTAAAACGTGCTATAAATTATGTATTAGGAAGCAATTAGCTACCGCATGCATACTCAAACTCAATTCGAAATATAATAATTTCATAGTACAGATCTATTAACAACTAATACATGGTATATAAATAGGCAAATTAATACGGTCTGACGTCCGAATTAAAATTCAAATGTGGGCCTGTTCCCAATATCTAAATGAATTTATATAATGTTAACCTCTTTTTTATTTTTTGACAATTTTATGAATGCGTGGGAAAGCAAAGTCAACGAGCTTGGATAGCATCCACAAAAAATCCATATGGTCTACAGCACACAAACAATAAACGTTATGATTAAAAACGAATAAACAATAAAAATACATAATAAAAGACATTAACAAAGCAGAGATCACAAATTTGGCAAAAGCGGACAATGAAATAAATAAAAAAAGAACGCGAAAAAGAAGAAAAAACCAACAACAAAATAAACACAATCAATCATTGAAGACTTGACAAAATTTATTTTGATTTGTTTGTGTATATTTAATTTGTTTAAGCAATTTGTCAGATGACTTCACGCAGCAACAAATAATCCGCTTTAGCAACAATTGCGCAAAAGATTTTTTAATTAATTATACTGTCAATTAAAGTAAGTTCCAAAATATCAAACTACTCAGTGAATCGAGAGACAGAGACAACCTCATAATAAACAGGTTACCAAAAAAAAAAAAAATATTGTCTATGTAAATATCTGAAGAGAATGAAAATTCTGGCTAGCCGGCATAAGACACTTTGAACCGGCGCTTAAAGAAATCTCGCGTCACATTTTATTATGATTTAAATGAATTTTATAGCTGATTCTCTGGAGGGTTCGAAAAGCTCCTCGCTTTGCGCTTTTCCCCCAAACAATGAGCGCTGTGCATAGCGCGTGTATGTGTAACTATCTGACATGATGATGATGATACTGTTGACAGCATATGGAGGTATATGTATATGTATATAAATATAGTATATATACTAAATGTACATTCAGCCTCATTGGCGCGCGCTGACTTGTCTCAAGTTGGATATGCTCAACCACCTCCCACATTCGCATCTACAACGAAACTTGTCTTGGTCCGCATTATCATTTCGGCGCAGTTCTTTTTATCAGTCAATTCTCGCTGCTCAAGTCGCGCCTCAAGTCGCGGAAAAATTATATATCGCGAAATCGAACACCCGATCTTCAGTGTTGTTTATACCTTTGGAAAATAGAAAATGTTGCGCCTGATGCAAGTCGAACGGCCTTGGCCAAGCCACTTTTAAAGGCAAATTAGTAAATCAATTAAAACGTGAAGAAAACTCGCATTCGCATTTAAAAACTGTATCATTTCCTTTTTTGGTAATTGACGTTAACAATATTCCTAGCTCAAAGAGATTTTTTTTAAATATTTTGTATATGCGAGCTTTACGTTCTACTTTGAGAAACTACAAAATCTTGTACCGTCAATTAATTTAATGCTGTTATTAAGACTCACGAATGAAAGTGGATTTCGGGGAATTTTACTCATACGAAAATCGTTGTCTTTATCTCGCTTCAGTATTATATTGCAGTTTTGTGTTGCAATCATCAGTTGTATTATCCTTTAATTTGGAGATATTCAATTACATCAACGCATTTGAGTGCACAGCTTGGGGGCAGCGGGGCGCCTCAGGTTCAAGGGCACTCTGAAAGCAATGCAAAAATACAGCTCATCTCGCAAACGCTATGCCTTTCCATTGGGCACAACAACTTGCTCTTCGTAGCGCCGTAGCGCCTCCCGTGCCCCAAAGGTTTTCAACCGTACAAATTCAAATTAGTTTCAATTATAATTGAATCAACGCAAGCCGAACGAAACGAACGAAGCCGAACCGAGCCGATTCAAATAAAGGAACGAGTAATCTGCTATTAAAAGAAACGACGCGAAATGTTCGCAGGGTTGCTTTGGGGCGGCGCAGTTTTCAAAATGACGTTGCATCGTTGCAGCTAAACGGTAAATTACAAATGGCGCTTCCGGCTCAGTTCAAAACGTTCAGTTCGCTCTCTTCTTAATGAAGTATGTGCATAATATATAAATGAATTTATATTTGAATGGCAAGAAACCCTTTTTTAGAATCTTATTATTACAAGTATAGAGAATTATACAGATTCACTTAGATTTATAGCAAGTCATGTTGTAAACAAATATTGTTTGTTGGCGCAAAAAACTTTCAACTGGCCAATGGAATTTAAACCTGAGAACTGCAAACTGGTTTTTCTACTTCATCTATGGCCTCTCGTTCAGAGAACTCCATTAATTTGTGCGCATAATCATTTAAGAGGTTTTTTCCGTTCCATTATCTGATTGACCACCAAATTCGCCAATAACTCAGCTCATATGTTCCGTTTGGTGCGAATGAAGAAAGTTTGTTTTACGACTTGTTTCCAGGCTGGATTTGTTAAGTTTTTTCGTAGCCTTATTTGATATATAGTATTTATTAAACAGGTTTGAAATTCACAGAAATGTTTCAAAAAGATGGTATAATAATTTAGAATTTAATTAGTTAAACAACAGACAACGGTGTTATATTCAAATTACTGACTTTTAAATGTTTTTTTTTTTTCTTTGCAATTACAAAGCGAAAACTCATTAAACGGTTTCACGTTATTGTCTTTGAAAAGTTTTTACATCAGCAACGATTAAATTGCGCAATGGGTAGAGAGCTGTGAGCTGCAATTGCTATTAAACAAGCAAATAAATTAAATAGAATAAATCACCGCACAATGAACATGTCTAAATAAAAACTAAATGAGCTTTACTTAGGCGTGCCTAAATAGACCCAGTTCCTTGACACTTCAGATGCTCAAGCCAAGTTTCCCTTCTAAAGAGTAGTTAAATTTTAATTTACTGTTTCGCTATATATAGACTTGAGCTAGAGAACACAAATTACGTTTCACATCGAATCATACCTGAAGCACAGCCGAATGATATTTAATGGAATTTACTCAAAAAATGAACGTTGACATAAATTGTAAATAATGTGAGCAAACAATATGAGGATAGAAATAAACGGAGAAGCAAACATTTCGTAGAGTACACAATACGAAGGGAGATGTGGGAGTAGAGAACTTGTGTTATGAGATTTCTAGAGAGGATAGAGCCACTCTCCATATATGCGACTGATTTGGTGTAAATATTAGTAAAAAGTTACTCTAAGACTTACTCAGATATAGCTTCTGGATAACAATTTAAGTATCTTGAGAAATCTAAGTTAAGAGTATAAATATTTTAGTCGTCAGCTATGGAGTACTCATAGATCAGGTATAGCAGAATTGGCCTCAAAGTGCAATTCAAGATTAAGATAAACCAGACGAGTCGAAAATGTTCAAAATTGGATTGTAAAGACTCTTTTAAAGTCTACTCAACAGCTGGTTTTTATTCTGTTCAAAATATAAAAGCTTCCACTAGACATTGAACTAGACCCTATGCGAAACCCCGCCCCTGTTCCGTTTAGTTCATATAAACAGTAGCGCCAACTGATAAATCTCAACCCGATAACAATAAAAACCAAAAGTTGCTTTGTGCCCCATGATGCTGATGATTCTGTTTATATGGTCGGCCTTATCGCTGCGACAAATGAGATGAATGCTTAGATAAGTCCCAGCTGAGATTGTCGCATTCGGGGTGCGCAGAAATCTATAGCGAGTCCGAAAGGAAAACGATCGCAGGGAAAGTCAGAAGCAGTACAAAGTGACGCCAGAGTTAATATTTGATTAGCGTTTGTGCAGATTATGCGTTTGGGCTGGCAACGAAAGTAAACGCGAATTAATAGTGATCCAGTTTCGCATGGGATCACACACAAATCAAGGTGCAAATAACTCTCAGCTAAGACTCAAATAACATAAACATTCTCCTCTTATTGCTTTATTGCAGCTGAATCGAATCCAAACAAGAGCTTAATCAAAACTCAATATCAGCCAGAGTCGAATATCAAGAAACTGGTCTATAAATTTTTGTTGCTGATATTGGAAAGTTTTCGATTGGATTATTTGCAACGTGCGCAAGTGCAGCAAGCCAGACTTGGGTTTTTGAATATCTGCGCATATTTGCGCATTTTAATTACAAACAGCAACAACAACAACAGTGAAGAGAGCAACTGCAACAGCAACAACTCCAACTGCAAGTGGAACGAGAGAAGCCAGCTAGCAAGGTCTGTTCGTTGCTTTCGTGGTCGCCATGGAGAATCTGGGCTACAAGGAGGGCAGCACGAAGCCGCGTCGTATGACACGTTCGATCAGCGTCGTAACCAAGACCGAAGTAGAGCAGCCGCTCAATGAAAATAATGCGAATAACCGGTAAGTGCCAGTTGTGCCCAGAGGCCAACATTCAGCCCATTCAGTTATTTATACCCAAAACGTGTGCATAACGAAGATAAACGTCCCTCATAAAATAAAAACCCAAAATCGAAAGTGAGTGTGAAGGAAAATAAAAACAAACATGACAGGATAACTTTTAG